ATCAAATCAACTCCAAACGACACCAAATTTTGCAGGCAAGTCCTAAATGACATAACGGAGCTGTTTCAACTTTCGAAATCGCATTCCGACCTCGATAGCACAAAAGTCAACTATGGGTCAAACCTCTCCATTTTAAAAACTTCAACTTTTCCAACTTTTGCCGAAATGCCTCAATTACCCTATGGGCCTCCAAATCCAAATTCGAACGCACGCCTAAGTCCAAAATCACCATACGAAGCTACTAACATCATCCAAAACTCATTCTGGAGTTGTTTATTCAAAAGTCAAATTCCGGTCAAATTCTCACCGCTTAAGCTTCCAAAACTAGATTCCTTCTTCCAATTCGACTCCGATTCATCCGGAAACAGAATCCAACCATGCATGCAGGTCGATACACATAATATGAAGCTTCTCGTGACCTCAAACTGCCGAATCGGACGCAATTGCTCAAAATGACCAGTCGGGTCGTTACATCCTCCTCCACTTAAACATACGTTCATCCTCGAACGTGCCCGGAGTCGTTCCAAAGCCATCGAACCACTGCATAAGCTCACCATACATACACCCGGGGGTGATTCCCCATCACCCAAACCTATGTAGGACTGACAATGCAACTTAAATGAAGGTCTCACCTCATCCTTAGTCCATAATCTTAGGATAGAACCCAAACCCCAATATCTGAAATTCATCTTAGGACCCGAATCCCACATCATCACACTGCATAAACCTGAACAAGCTGAATCGAGCCAAAATTCCAATCTAGAATACAATCACATGTTGTTCCACACAACCCAAATGCCCGAAGCAATAACCTATGACCACCATACCTGCTCAAATAACATCCTGGATGCCGGCAATCCACTTAACATTGAATACAACCTTGTTCCGGACTTCCACAACACTGCCCATGATAAAGAAACATGCGGAAACTCATAGCCGCCCATGAAGTCAACAAGTCAAGAAGCCCTCTCGCCCGCCAGGGGCCATTACCCAAATCTTAGCAGAAACACCCGCATACTTCCAAACACTCCTCACCCCCAATACCATAGTACTAATCTCAGGTCTAAGAACCTCATCTCAGCCAATACAAGCAGCCCAACTAACAACTCTTCACGAAACCACACGGATTCTCACACCACATAGTTCGTACACCAAACCAGCAATAACTCAATTATGCAGCACAAATAAAGGAAGCAAAGTATAAGAATTATCTAACAAGTACAACATGTGTAACAACAAAAGTATAGTTTTCATCAAATCATCGCACAGAGGGAAAACACAACACCAAATAAACACAAGGAAAGGGGTATCCTACATAACATCTGCTGCGGCGCGCAGCCCGCTCCCAAATACTCATCAAGATAGATGCTCGGGTTCACTCATCATATGAATATTGATATCAAGAACAGCAGAGTACACAATTATAATTGTGAGAAAATGAATAGAAACAAATAAATAAATATGGAAGAAAGCAAGCACGACTAAGGTGCAATGAGCATATCAACATCACGAGGGCTATCTCGCCCGCATTGCCATAAGGCTTGAACAAAATTACAACATGCGTGGGGAATAATCATACAACCTCACCGCCTATCATGGCATAAAAGAGTGGCACATAACATAGGCTAGGGGCACAAATAGTATCCATTCTGCCTGATAACATACCCATAATGACAATCTCATAGAAGCACACAAACTTGGCCTGATACAAAATACATATTCTCGCTAATCTTCCAAATAGGCCCCAACCAAATCCTGATCCTTCCCAATTAGGTAAATATTCTTCAAAGATCCACAACAACCTATCGATAATACATGATATTGATCATCCCATTCTCAACATTTCTTCACAATCCACTAACAGGAAATAGCCCATATATGAGGGCATCTAGCCCCAAAACCTTGGGAATACCAAAATTTCCATGCCCGAACTCAACTACGCAGATCAAATGGCTGATATATCACTCACATCCCATCATCATGTCTAAGCACCCATATAAAATTCTCGGCCGCGTAACAAAACATGAACTTTGAAAGCCTCAAAATCCAGTAATCACCATGCCACTAGCCACGCACCCGCAAACCACAACTCAAGGTTCTTTCAAAAAATGCACACTCTTCACATATGATAGCCAACAATGCCAACACTCTATTAATTTCTAACACTTATTCGGGGGAAACCACAATGTACAACATATTCCTTATGCCCATAGCAGCCAGTCGAGTCAAACCGTTCCAAAACCATCGAGAACCCTCCGAGATTCGCTTGCACGTATCTAAGCCATCAAGACTGCACCTCCCCAACTCAACCGAGTCACATAAACCATCCAATCCAAGAGTACTGCCACGCATGCCAGTAGAGAATCCCCGTTCAAAATGACCAATTACTTCCATTGCTATGCTGACCCAACACTACTGAACTAACCCATTTCTTGAATAGACGATACGCAATAAACCCAATCAAGGCCCCAAATACAAATGATCCAACCACGAACCACGTAGCCTAAAAGCTCATAAACTACCACATTTCCTCTGAAGCATCTCGTTCTGCCGCAACCACGGTGCCCCGCCGAATAGACCGTCTGTGAATCTGAAGTTGTTCCTCCGGCTCCCTTTGATGCTGAAATATAGATCCATTAATGACATAGAAACGTCGTAAGCCCCAACATCATCCCGTACAAGATCTCAAATGTTATTCGTACACAAAACTCGAGAACCTACCAATACCCCATATACACATACCTTAGGCCAAAACTGATGTAAATCTGACTCTGTAATATGAACGCCGCTAGTGGGCTCCTCCACTTGGCGCGAAGCCATAGAAAAAAACATCTGATAATCCGCACAGCTCGTACAACACAAATCACAAGGTACTCCAATACCACCAATTATCCCCAATCAACACCCACCTCGTGACCCCGCCACAATTTCGACGACTAGCCAACCAATTAAACCTTCTCAAGCTCGTACTGATCAACTAGACGCGGGGAACCGCTGCACCTCCATATGAACAACTGAATAGTCTCTCAATACCTTTATATTTTCAGTCCGGACAATACGTTGAGACAATGTTTGAGCATCCCTCACTCCCTCCTAGCCCGTCTGTAGCATTACAAACCACTGGCGCATAGCGGACACAGAGAGCGCAATATCATACACGAGTGGATGTAAAGGAACATAAGTTATATACTTCGAGCTGAATCAATGGCGCACGATAAGGAAAATGAAATAAGTGGAATTTCCTAATAGTTCTGTAGCCTCTTGAAGATAAGTACAGACGTCTCCGTACTGATCCGCGAGACTCTACTAAACCTGCTTATGACTCGTAGCACCTATGAACCTAGAGCTCTGATACCAACTTGTCCCGACCCAAAATCCCTCCGAAGGAGTCGTGATGGCACCTAGTCTCTAAACTAGGTAAGCCTAACATTTACAGAAATAACATTGATATTCACTAACTTCAAATTAGATAACGCTGAACAATTACAATTCCCAAAACCGGCGGTACAAGTCATAAGCCTTTCTAGGAGTAGTTATACATAATAAATACATCACTGTTCCAGAAAAAAAAGGAACAAATGGGAATAAGTAAAAACGAAGGTGACTCCGAGGCCTGCGAACGCAGTAGGTTTACCTTGAGTCTCCGCCGCGATGATCCGCACAGCTACTATCGATCAAATACCTGGATCTGTACAAAAAGATATATAGAAGTGTAGTATGAGCACACCACGGCGATGCCCAGTAAGTATCAAGACTAACCTCGATGGGGTAATGACGAGGAACAGTCAAGACACGTACTAGTCAAATAAATTTAACAGGATATGATAATGAACTACCAAGATAAAGATAATAAAATAATATCAATAGCAGGGAAAAATCCAAGTACAAAAACAGTATAGACAATGAAGGGAAACACAGATAGTAACGAACGATAATCAAGTAAATTAACACCAACATAACTAGGACACAGACAAGTAAGAATATGTTCAAACAAAGAAGGTGATGCCAACTCAATCAATCACATCATTTCTAATAAACAATCCCGACCATCTCAATCCTCGGTGTCTTATGCCATAATATCAATTTCCACACCTTTAGTACACATTTGTGCCCACATATTTCTAACTCACTTTGCACAACATCATCCTCATGCTACTCAGTACATAGGGTCCATAACCAATGCAATAAAGATGTTCAAGGAGTCTCATTTATATAACATAAAGTAGATTACAACTTCTAAACCAATTAGGATCGGGAATCAACAAGAAAAGATGAAGTTATTTTTAGAATTCATTTGAATTAAGAAAATACCCTTTTAAAATAAATACAACATCGAATGAATTATTACTTTTAATATAGGAATTAACAAATTAAAACTTTGTCGAAATTCTTTTTTAGGTAAGATTCAATATCATCGGTATAGGAATTTGAATTATTGAAAGGTGTATATATACACGACGAGTTCAAATTTAAAAATCATATATAGCAGCGTAATACTAATTCCTTTATTTTAAATCACGATATCACTAACAACTTAGCAGGACTGGAGAAAATGATTCAACGTAGTAAATTTACTTTAAAAATTTATTCACCAGAGTAATAGTTTCAGGGAAGGATTTCAAGGCACAACGACTAGTCAGCAACTCAATGCAAATAACCCGATCCCCACATCGCAATAAACCCGAAATACAAATTGTCAAAGTTTTAAACAAATGAACTAGGGTCTTCTCAGTATTCGGCTATAACCAAACCCTAAATGAAATGTAAAACCACCGAATGACTTGTACAATCAAAGAGGAATACATAAGTATATATATATATATATATATATATATATATATATATATATATATTTTGATTTGCACCGGGTGTCTGAGTCTCTATGAGCCCCGAAAAATCCCGGGGGTGCACAGGCCCTTGGCAAGGAGTTTCCCGCAAGTGCACCACGGTTAATTCAGGTTTTACCCAGTCCGATGGCCCTCAGAAATTGTTTGCACCTAGTGGGTTTTGAACTTGAGACCTTGAAAGGGAGCATACCCCAAGGCTCAAGTCAATTGCCACCAGGTCAACCCCTGAGGGTTTCTTAATATATTTTAGTCAATGCATGTAGATATCCCACTGTTTGCTATAGTATCAAGAAAAAAATGTAGCACGCAGTTATGTGACTGTGTCGTATCTTATCAGGTAAACTCACATCTAATGGACATTGAACATGTAAAAAAAGAAATATCAAATAGAGCAAATCAACTCTCCTTAACAATCAGCAAAAGATAGAGCAAATCAACTCTCCTTAACAATCAGCAAAAGGTGAGGCCCTAGCTTTTCAGCTTGATAAAATAAAAATAACAGTTCAAAGTTTTCTCTACATCTAAGAGTATGTACTTGCAGAAGCAAATAAAATCTTCAAAGATCTGAGAAAAATCAAGTTATCACTTATCAGAACAAGAAGAAATGGACACCACAAATTATACGCCCTCGCGCAACTCTGGAGACTACATGATTATTAGCATTCCAAACAAAAGACTCAGGTCTAAGAAACAATGGCTTCATATTCCTAGGGTTGAATACTCATTACCACATCCGACAGAAAGAACTGAACTGAGAGAATAAGCGCATTTTTAGAGCCACAAAAGATTCTTCATCAGTACTGACCAATAAGTTCAATTCCTTAAATTACAACAACTACTGCTACTAGTGCGCTTTAATCCATGCTGGGAGTTGGTTGCCTGAATCCTCTTACATTATTTTTCAGTTGGACTTGTTTGATTCCACCTTTCAATAGTTTGTTTTCCAGTTCCTCAAATTGCAAAAAAAAAACTCAATTCTTGATATATTAAGAAATTAATAGTAAAGTTTTTCTGTTCCATGACCCATAGAGATGGAAGTAAATCCAATATAGCAGATTTCACACAATCCCCGCCAGCTGTAGTAAGTATAATCATCCTTGAAAGCCAAACTATGGAAGCTCAGTTCAATTCATTTTTTCTCTCCTCTTTCAACCAGAGGCAGCAACATCCTTTGTTGCATCGGACCAGATGGAAAAAATAAATCAGCAGGTCTGAACAAACTTGACAAGCAATGACTGAGGTCATCACACCTCACGCCATTTTTGTTGATAAGTCATAACACCTCTACAAGCAAAATCAGATAATGAGATATCAAGCAGCACTATGTTCACAAGTTTAAAGCTTTCATATTCCAAAACACACTTCAGAAGTCTTATGACTCCAATTTGCTGGTTCTAACATATCCAACAGCTTTAGATAGACAAAGAGAAACAGAAACAAATGAAATAAGCTACATACAATGCTGACGCTTCACCTAGTTCACTACCTTGGTTAGTGCTCCACACTATTATTACTCACAATTCCTTTTTGATAAATAAGTAAGAATCATTCACAATTCATACTATCTTAAACATCAAACAGCATACGTGAAATTAGCTGGTCATTTGTATTGGGAGAAAACTACAATGCCTCTAGTCCTTTTGACACATTTTTTTTTGTTGGGATGACACTAGGATTTGAAGCTGAGATCTCATGGTCCTTTTGGCAAATTTTCCATATTCAAATAAATTAAGTATATGACAAAACACACAAAAAATGTAAGCATACATACCAAATGATTAACAATATGAGAACCCGAAGTGTTCCCTCTCGAATTACAGAACCATTTGCGGCAAGATGGCACGTTGCACCTGACTACACAAGCAGGATTGGCTACTCCACAGTACTTGCAAGCATGTTCAACAGCAAAATCCCCTTTCCCATACTCAAAACTCTCATCATCACCTGTCTCTTCAAAATTCAACCCGCTCATTCCCGCCGCCAATGCATCCACCGACACTGCCGCCGCCTTATTACTACTAAATTTACTATTACTATTTCCTCCACCACCGCCACGTGATTTGGCGGAAGGAGAAGCGTCGGATGACGATGGTAGCCGATCAGGAGCTTCCGAGACTAAAGAATCGGACGGCGTAGGCCACGCAGATGATCGAATTGGCTGCGAAAGCTCGTGAAACTCAGGATAATCGAATTCCTCTCCCTGTGTGCTGAATTCTAAAAATGTGTAGGCATCGTTGCCCGTGTCCGGCTGCGACGCCGTATCGTACAAATTGTTCGCCTGCGAATCCATTTTCCGATCACACTACTCCTTTAACTGTAAAAATCACATACGAATTCAGGTTAGGGTTAGGGTTTAGGAATTTGAACGTGAGGAAGCAGAAACAAAAGCGAATTTGGATTTACAGGGTTTGGAAATGGAGGGAGATGAGAGAGATATAGGAATATTTGTATGTATAAGTGAGTGTGCGTCTTTATTTTCGTGAAGACGAGGACCGAGGAGGAGGTGGAGAAATGGCGGGGCTCACGTGAGATAAGACTTGGTGCTCTGCGTGATTGGGTGATTTCGTCTAGTCTCGTGACTATGAGCACGTGACTCAAGGTGGGGCGTTCGGCACGTTCGGCGCGTTAATTTCATCAGAACAGTGTTTCCTTTATCTGGACATTCGCAGTGTAGGCGTAGCAATTTACTAGGTACGATTAGCCCGGGCCAATAACCTTAAAAGTTTTCGTATATCCTGTATGATTATTGTAATTTTTACATTCCTATACCACATAGGAAACCTTTTTACTCTACATGTTTAAGGTTTGAGTAAATTACACTTAGTATACCAAATTACCAATCCTATACCATACTTAATTAAGGGTCTAATTAATGGGCTGTTTTTACTCCTTAATTAAAGGTATCCATATCTAATTAATGGGCAGTTTTTACTCCTTAATTAAAGGTATCCATATATCTCACGTCTCTCTCTCCTTACCCCTCACCCCCTCACCCACGTTTTTACCCATACCCCACATTCTTTCTTGTTCTTCATCCACGATTGCAAGATCAATCAACGAAAGATGTCCTTGAGATGCATTAGCCAGCGAAATCTCATTATATTTGAATGTCGTGCCAATTTCCTCTGCAACAATTATTTTTGGGTACCAAACAAAAATCCCTCTTCTGGAAAAGTCAAAAATGAGAAATTTATTGGTAAAGAGACTAATATGAAAAGCTGCCGACAACTTCTCCAAACGTCTTAGAAACACTGACTGTTGAAGCCCTCACCTAGATTTACTGTTTGTCGTGTATTTTATAGTGTAATTGCAGTGTAATTGTAGTGTAATTGTAGATTTTGTGTAATGGATATGATCTGTTGAAGCCCTCACCTAGATTTACTGTTTGTAGTGTAACTGTAGTTAGTTTGTAGTTTATGTAGAACATTTCACGATTAATTGTAGTCTAAAATGTATATATAATGTAGACATGATTGTGGATGATGTGTTTCCTGTTTGCCCTGTAACTGTAGGTAAATTGTAGTTATTTTTATATTAGGTACTTAAACTTTAGGTAATTTGTACATTCACTGTAGTTATTCTTATATTAGGTACTTAAACTGTAGGTAATTTTTAGATGTTTACCTCCAAGTTCTATGTAATATTTGTATATAACTGTCAGTTGAATATAAATTACACAACAAAAAATAAGAAATAAATACTCCAATCGTAGAAATATGTTATCCACAATTAATCTGCAAATTGTCTACAAAATTTTACAAAAACTACAAATTAACTACATTTAACCTACATTATAACTACAATCTGGAAACAATTTACACATGGAGTTCTTCAAGTTCGAATTGGCCACAACTACATTTCTTATTTTCTAGACACACAATGTACCGCTTCACACCATCCAACACAGTATGTATATGATCTGTTGAAGCCCTCACCTACATTTTCAGAACAAACACAAAGAAAAAAAATTTACAATATTAAAAATATAGTATCTACAATATATCTACAATTTATCTACAAATTAACTACAAACTACAAGTAAACTATAATTTGCCTACAATATATCTACAATCTGGAGACATTGTATATTAAAATATTTTTTTCCTGCACCAAATAAAGAACTTGTAGTCAAATTGTAGATATATGTAGTAAATTTGTAGATAATATCATAAAACTAAAATTCTAAGCATTTTCGAACTACACAAACCTGCATTCTCATCTACCACAATGGCATCAACTTCAAAATCTCGAAATCTGCCATAGTTATCCCAAATTCCATTCAATTTTAGCATTATTGGGATTTTTGACATGATTTCGTGTAGTTGAGAGAAAAAAGATGAAGAACAGATATAGGTTCGACAATTTGAGTACTGAGGACGATGAAGAACAATTTTGAATTCTACAATTTGTATTGCGTTGTTGAAGCTTCTGAAGCTCTGCGTTGTTTTTGAATTGTAGTGAAAGAGAGAATTACGCAGCAATAAGATCTCTTTCCGTTTCAAATTTCGANATATATATATATATATATATATATATATATATATATATATATATATTTTGATGCAACGCGCATCCCGATCCCACAAATCCTCCCTTATTCCTCTAAAAAAAATTACAATAAAAGTAAACGGTATATATTTGTTGCGGCATGCAACTCGATCCTACCAATCCTCACTTATTCCTCCTTAACAATTACAATAAGAGTAAATAGTATACATATCACCATATCAGTAACAACATGATCATTGACCCTTATTACTCCTTGTTGCGGTGTGCATCCTGATCCCACCAGTCCACCCTTATTACTCCTCAATATACATCACCCTTATTCCTCCTGTTGGGGCGTGCAACCCGATCCCACCTGTTCACCCTTATTACTCCTTGTTGTGGCGTGCAACCCGATCCCACCAGACAACATCAATTCTCCCTTATTCCTCCTCAATTTATAAACAACCAGACATAGTTTAAAATCAACAACAACAACAACAACAATTCAACAACCCAATCACAAGGACCTCTACCACCAAGAGTATGAGTACACGACAATAAGAGAATCACGGAAAAACCAAGAAGCACAAGCACCTTTACAAAAACAACAAGAGATATAAGGCACGTGATAACTACACCGGCAACCACAACAATTGGGACACATAGCATGTATGCATGGGGTCATAGAGGAATTCACATTTAAGAAATAACAAAATAATAAGGAGGACAACATTTCTTCACAATCCACTAACAGGAAATAGCCCACACATGAGGGCATCTAGCCCCAAAACCTCAGGAATACCAAAATTTCCATGCCCGAACTCAACTACGCAGATCAAATGGCTGATACATCACTCACATCCCATCATCCTGTCTAAGCACCCATATAAAATTCTCGGCCGCGTATCAAAACATGAACCTCGAAAGCCTCAAAACCCAGTAATCACCATGCCACTAGCCACACACCCACAAACCACAACTCAAGGTCCTTTCCAAAAATGCACACTCTTCACATATGATAGCCAACAATGCCAACACTATATTAATATCTGACACTTATTCGGGGAAAACCACAATGTACAACATATTCCTTTTGCCCATAGCAGCCAGCCGACTCAAACTGTTCCAAAACCATCGAGAATCCTCCGAGATCCGCCCACACGTATCTAAGCCATCAAGACTGCACCTCCCCAACTCAACCGAGTCACACAAACCATCCAATCCAAGAGTACTGCCACGTATGCCAGTAGAGAATCCCCGTTCAAAATGACCAATTACTTCCATTGCTATGCTGACCAACACTCCTGAACCGACACATTTCTTGAATAGTCGATAAGAAATAACCCCAATCAAGGCCCCAAATACAAATGTTCCAACCACGAACCACGTAGCCCAGAATCTCATAAACCATAGCATTTCCTCTGAAGCACCCTGTTCTGCCGCAACCACGGTGCCCCCGCCGAACAGACCGTCTGTGAATCTGAAGTTGTTCCTCTGGCTCCCCTTGATGCTGAAATGTTGATCCATTAATGACGTAGAAACACTGTAAGCCCCAACATCATCCCGTGCAAGATCTCAGACCTTAGTCGTACACAAAACCCGGGAATCTACCAATACCATATATACACATACCTCAAGCCAAAACTGATGTAAATCTGACTCTGTAATCTGAATGCCGCTAGTGGGCTCCTCCACTTGGCGCGAAGCCATAGAAAACAACATGTGATAATCCGCACAGCTCGTACAACACAAATCACAAGGTACTCCAATACCACCAATTATCCCCAATCAATACCCACCTCGTGACCTCGCCATAATATCGACGACTAGCCAACCAATTAAACCTTCTTAAGCTCGCACTCATCAACCAGATGTCGGGAACTGCTGCGCCTCCATATGAACAACTGAATACTCTCTCAATACCTCTGTATCTTCAGTCTAGACAATACGTTGAGATAATGTCTGAGTATCCCTGACGCCCTCGTAGCCCGTGTGTAGCATTACGAACCACTGGCGCATAGCGGACACTGAGAGTGCAATATCATACACGAGTGGATGTAAAGGAACATAAGTTATATACTTCGAGCTGAATCAATATCGCACGATAAGGAAAATTAAAGAAGTGGAATTTCCTAGTAGTCCTGTAGCCTCTCAAAGATAAGTACGGACGTCTCCGTACCGATCCGCGAGACTCTACTAAACCTGCTTATGACTCGTAGCACCTATGAACCTAGAGCTCTGATACCAACTTGTCACGACCCAAAATCCCTACGAAGGAATCGTGATGGCACCTAGTTACAGAAATAACATTGATATTCACTAACTTCAAATTATATAACTCTAAACAATTACAATTCCCAAAAACAGTGGTACAAGTCTTAAGCCTTTCTAGTAGTAGTTATACATAATAAATACATCACTGTTCCAGAATAAAAAGGAACAAATGGGAATAAGTAAAAACGAAGGTGACTCTGAGGCTTGCGAACGCAGCATCAGGTTTACCTTGAGTCTCCGCCGCGACGATTCGCACAGTTACTACCGATCAAATACCTGGATCTGTACAAAAAAAAATGTACAGAAGTATAGTATGAGCACACCACGGCGGTGCCCAGTAGGTATCAAGACTAACCTCGGTGGGGGTAGTGACGAGGAACAATCAAGATACCTACTAGTCAAATAAATTGAACAGGATATGATAATGAACTACCAAGATAAAGATAACAAAGTAATATCAATAGCAGGGAAAATCCGACTACAAACAGTATAGACAATGAAGGGAAACACATATAATAACAAATGATAATCAAGTAAATTAACACCAATATAACTGGGAAACAAGTAAGAATATGTTCAAACAAAGAAGGCGATGCCAACTCAATCAATCACATCATTTCTAATACACAATCCCGACCATCTCAATCATCGGTGTCTCATGCCATAATATCAATTTCCACACCTTTAGTACACATTTGTGCCCACATATTTCTCACTCACTTTGCACAACTTCATCCTCATGCTACTCAGTACATAGAGTCCATACCCAATGCAATAAAGATGTTCAAGGAGTCTCATTAATATAACATAAAGTAGATTACAACTTCTAAACCAATTAGGAAATCAACAAGAAAAGATGAAGTTATTTTTAGAATCCATTTGAATTAAGAAAATATCCTTTTCAAATAAAATACAACATCGGATGAATTATTACTTTTAATATAGGAATTAACAAATTAAAACTTAGTAGAAATTCCTTTTTTAAGTAAGATTCAATATCATCGAGTTAAGGAAATTTAATTGGGAAACTAATTAAAATAAAACATAACATTTATAGGAATTTGAATTATTGAAAGGTGTATATATACACGGCGAGTTCAAATTTAAAAATCATATATAGCAGCGTAATACTAATTCCTTTATTTTAAATCACGATATCACTAACAACTTAGCAGGACAGGAGAAAATGGTTCAACGTAGTAAATTTACTTTAAAAATTAATTCACCAGAGTAATAGTTTTAGGGAAGGATTTCAAGGAACAACGGCAAGTCAACAACTCAATGCAAATAACCCGATCCCCACAACTCAATGAAACCCGAAATACAAATTGTCAAAGTCTTAAACAAATGAACTATGGTCTTCTCAGTATTCAGCTACAACCAAACCCTAAATGAAATGTAAAACCACCGAATAACTTGTACAGTCAAAGAGGAATACATAAGCATATATATATATATATATATATTGATGCGACGCACATCCCGATCCCACCAATCCTCCCTTGTTCCTCAGAAACAATTACAATATAAGTAAACAGTATATATTTGTTGCGGCGTGCAACCCGATCCCACCAATCCTCCCTTATTCCTCCTTCACAATTACAATAAGAGTAAATAGTATACATATCACCATATCAGTAACAACATGATCATTCACCCTTATTACTCCTTGTTGCGGTGTGCAACCCGATCCCACCAGTCCATCCTTATTACTCCTCAATATATATCACCCTTATTCCTCCTGTTGCGGTGTGCAACCCGATCCCACCTGTCCACCCTTATTACTCGTTTTTGCGGCGTGCAACCCGATCCACCAGACAACATCAATTCTCCATTATTCCCCCTCAACATATCAACTACCAGACATAGTTTAAAATTAACAACAACAACAACAACAATTCAACACCCAATCACAAGGACCTCTACCACCAAGAGTATGAGTACACGGTAATAAGAGAATCACGGAAAAACCAAGAAGCACAACCTTTACAAAAACAACAAGACATATAAGGCACGTGATAACTACACCGGCAACCACAACAATTGGGACACATAGCATGTATGCACAGGGTCTTAGAGGAATTCACAATTAAGAAATAATAAAACAATAAGGAGGACAATCACTTCAATTAAGGCAATTAAGGGCCAAGTAACAAGTAAGGATTAGAGGAAAGCTAACAACATCGTATGAAACATATTCTATTAGCTATTTTAAATGCGCAGACACTCTTAAGCGGCATCCAAGTATATATCAAAGTAAAAGTAGCTTTTTCATCCTATTAAGTACGGATCAGAATGTGAGACTATTTTATTCCTTGTCATTTTAAAAGCAACACTTAACTCAGAACATGTATTTATATATGTCAGTGCAACAATATTACTTTTCAAAGAAAGCATCCCTCTATTGTTCATTTGTACCTAAAATAATAACCTAGTCAGGACACAGAAATACATTACCGAAATTCAAAACTTGAAAGCATCCCTCCACAGTCCATTTGTACCCAAAATAATGATCTAGTCAGGACAGAAAAGTACACTACTGAAATCCAAAACTAGTGTCCTTCTTTTCAGGTTTATAGAGGCACTCAAACCCTTGAGTCATATAAATGAAAAGCTAATCAAATTGTAGCTTTCTTCAACTGAATAAACCTAAATTCAGCAGTTTCACCAATTAGTTTAACGTCATTTTCATCATTCAACCATATAACCACTTACAAATATCAATCAATCAACCACTTTTAATCCCAAACAAATTTGAGGCAGCTATATGATTGCTATGAAATCATTTCGCTCTATTCTGAATTTGAAAACCTAAACGGAAAGGGGTGTGGGGGGGGGGGGGGTAGGGGGGGGGGAGGCACATCAGCTACATGTTTGTTTTCAAAAGATATAGTTATAGCGACACAACAGCAAAAAGCCCAAAGCAAAAAAGTCTCAATTGTTAGCAGGTTTGGAGGAATAAAAACAGAAGGCATTTTGGGCACAACTTCTTTCATATTCTTCATGTAGTTTACTAATTTGAAATACTCTTTTTCACCTTGAGTTATGAGTTTGGCATCAATAAATATTCCGTACAAGTCTTTCACAATTACGCAATTTAAAGGTAAATCTGGCCAAAGTCACAATATACTCCGCATTGATAAAAATATCTATAGTACGAAGCGGAGTTATTCTCTTTGATCGATCAGTTCTCAAAGAATTGAAAAATATAGATGTTGGACTACTGAAAGTTGAACTGAAAAATAAAAATAAAAAAGATAAACACATAATTTTTAAGAAAACATAAAACTCCATGACGACTAATGAACTTTACAATATTAAATAAGTAAATTTAGCAACATCGACTGGTCACTTTGGGAATAAATTTGATACTCCTACTTGATTTGGCTATAAAAATATGGAAGGGCAGAAGTTCTACATTTACACACATACACACACAAACACACACATAGAGAGAGAGAAACTGATGGAGAGAGATCTAGCACCTGAATAGTCCTCCCCAGCACCGGTCACAACTGCTGAAGCCGCCGGTTGAAGAAAGGAGCGATAGTGTGAGCGTGAGAGAGAAGAGAGAATGTGGGGAAGGAAAAGAGAATTAGAAAAATAAGGGTTTCGAATAAGTTAGGCCCAAAATAACTTAATTATCCAACTTTAGGCCTAAAATAAATAATTTCTGATTAAGTTTCGACTACTGTAGTCGAAAAATGTATATTATTTAATTAATTTTTTATTTAAAAATTTCGACTGATGTGGTTGAAAACTGTCAAGACCATTATATTCCGACTACCGTAGTCGGAAAATTATATGCGCGGAATTTTCCGCGAAACTTTACGATAATAGTGGTCGAAAACATAGTCGGCAAAATTCTAAAAAAAATATATAAATATAAATATGAATTTTCCGACTACTGTAGTCGGGAATTTATGACTGACATTTTGTAGTCGGAAATGGTAGTCGGAAAAAAGCTTTTTTCTAGTAGTGTAAAACAAGCAATTAGGAAACCTAATCATATCGGAAAACTTCCCACTTAATGAACATAAGGACCTAAGAAACCTAAAGGCAAATTCTCCACAAATAAGTCCGAGCACATACTCGTTACCTCGCGTGCACGGACTACAATTAGCATAGAAGACTCAAATCCTAAGGGGGAGTCCCCCTCACAAGGTTAGGCAAGATACTTACCTCAATCCGGCCAATTCAATACTCAATTTAGCTTTTCCTTTACCAATTCATCAATGCTCGGCTCAATCTAGCCAAGAACGACTTGAATACATCAAACAATGCAAGAGAAAACTATTTCAATTAACAAAGCTATGATTCTTATACAATTTGGAAAAAGTCAACTCTTCGGGCCCGCACCTTGTAACCCGACAAAATTTACAAAAACCGAATACCCATTCCGATACGAGTTCACCCATACAAAATTTTCATATTCCGATACCATTTGGTCCTTCAAATCATCATTTTATATTTTTGAAATATTTCACAATTCCCCCAAATTTTCCTTTTGGTTCTCATGAATTTGATGTTAAATCTAAGATATAATCACAAAATATAGTTGAAAATTAATTAAAGATACTTAACCAATGACTTGGTATGAAAATCTCTTCACAAAATCGCCTCACCTCGAAGTTAGGGTTCAAAAATATGAAAAATGAAGCAAAACTCGGAATACCAGCTTTTAGCAGGTTGCAGATGTCGCATTTTGCGACACTGGGTTCACAAATGTGAACTCGCAAAAGCGAAGAAATCTTCGCAAATGTGAAGCCTGGATTTACCCTTGCAACATCGCAATTGCGATGAAAATCTTCGCAAATGCGAAGGCCCTTCGCAAAAGCGGCCCAAAACTTCGCAAACGCGAACCTCCCCTGCCCAGACCATTTTTCGCATTTGCGAGACTAGCTTCGCAAATGCGAAGCCTGCATGTCCCAGCCATTTTCGCAAATACGATACAATGCCCGCAAAAGCGGTGGTCGCAAATGCGACCCCTTACTCGGAAATGCGAGATCAGACAACAGAAAAATAAGAAATTTTCTTCCAAAAACTCCGAAACGCTTTCGAAACTCATCCGAGCCCTCGGGGCTCCAAACCAAACACCCAAACAAGTCTGAACACATAACACAAACTCGCTCACGTGATCGGAACATCAAAATAACCCCTAGAACCACGAATTTGATGCCAAAACGCATGAAAATTATTATGAACTTCAAGAACTTATAGAATTGCAACCAAACGTCCAAACCATATCAAATCAACTCCAAACGACACCAAATTTTGCAGGCAAGTCCCAAATGACATAAGGGAGCTGTTCCAACTTTCGGAATCGCATTCTGACCTCGATAACACAAAAGTCAACTATGGGTCAAACCTCTCCATTTTAAAAACTTCAACTTTTCCAATTTTCGCCGAAATGCCTCAAATTCCCCTATGGGCCTCCAAATTCAAATTCGAATGCATGCTTAAGTACAAAATCACCATACAAAGCTACTGACATCATCCAAAACTCATTCTATAGCCGTTTACTCAAAAGTCAAATTCCGGTCAAATTCCCACCGCTTAAGCTTCCAAAACTAGATTTCTTCTTCCAATTCGACTCCGATTCATCCGGAAACAGAATCCAACCATGCACACAAGTTGATACACATAATATAAAGTTGCTCGTAAGCTTAAACTACCGAACCGGACATAATTGCTCAAAACGACCAGTCGGGTCGTTACACTTTTATAGTCTCTGTTTTGTCTATTTTGGAACTACTGGTAGTACTTGACATAAATTACCTCCCAAAACATTAACTTCCAACAAACGGTTCATTAATATCCGATATATCTCTAGAACTTCGGGCAATTATTTCGAACGTTTGATACTTAGCCATAAGTGTTTCATCCCATATAATTAATTTTGCTTTTTACTGGTCATTATTTCTGCCTTTCATCTATTCGCTGGTTCTAGTGTTGTTGTTATATTTCCATGATGGTACTAATATATTGTCTCTCTTTGTCTTTTCGTCTTCTTGAGCCGAGGGTCTTTCGAAAATAGCCTCTCTACCCCATCGGGGTAGAGGTAAGGTCTGCGTATACACTACCCTCCCCAGATCTCACTGGGTCATTGTTGTTGTTATTATTGCTTTCCTTATAAATTTAGCACAATTTCTCTGCTTTGATATATTTGTGATGGTTATTTAAGCTGTTTGAACAGCTATATCAAAACTAAAGTGGGTGGCCTCACAGTACAATCGTTATTGGTACACCACTTGCTATTATTGCTAATGCCATACCTCATGATATAATATTTGCAAATAATGCATAACATAGAAATATTATTTTGATTCCGCCAGAGGCATCTGCAAAGAATAATCTCATTATAGCATAGCCGACTCTTTATAATATAGTCTTAGAAGCTTGTTCTTATTTAGGATTTAGCTTTGACTGAGCTTCCTCAGACACTTGTATAGCATTTTGATTCTTAATAATATACTAACATTTTTACTTTGTGTTCTAACGCTCTTTTTTATGGGATAAATTTATGTACTCTAAGATTTATTTACACTTGAATAAGAATTTTACTCATATGATGAATTTAAAAAAATTGAATTGGATTCTCTTGCTAAATAATTAATTAAAAAATTTAATTATTTGGTTTTAAATTATTTTTCTATGTTGATTCAAAATCTTAATATTAGTTCATCTCTTGTTTTGATTATTTAATCTTAATTATAATTTTATCCACCATAAATTTTATTTTCAAAGAGTAAAAGATTGATATGACATTTTACTTTTAAATATTTATGTCTGTAGAATCATTATTGGTATTGAGTCTTACCAATCATTTCTCTCTCTCTCTCTCTCTCTCTCTCTCTCTCTCTCTCTCTCTCTCTCTCTCTCTCTCTCTCATACATTTATATTCTTAAATATCTTATTAGTTGTTGTTTAATAATTGAATATGTTTTTGATATTACACGAAAAATTGATAAAAAGATATATTATTTGGTCAGAAAAATAGTTCAAATATAATATAAAAATATATTATCATGGATTTTTTTTCTCAATTTCAACTCTTTATGCAGTCCATTTAATATTACTTTCATATTTTTTTGACATTATCGAGTGGTAATGTATTACCAATACAGAGGATTCTTATAAAATTAATATTATTAAACCTTCCTACATCTTTTTAATAAGAATTTAATCGACAAAATTTTATTAATTTGAAAATCTTAAATATTAAAAATTAGCATAGAAGATATTGTAGTCCAAAAATAGGTAATTGCGGTTATGTCCTTTCTCTAGGAGTTCTTCCATTTAATATTGTAGGGATATTTCGGTATATTAATATTGTATTTATGCTTTTATAATAATATTGTCACGACCCTAATTCCATAACAGGTCGTGATGGCGCCCAACACCGCTGTTAGGCAAGCCAACACCGATTAGCTAGTGAATTCCCATTTTTATTAACAATTCCAACATCTAACTTAAATTCAAAGCATTTGATAAATAACGGATTTTTTAAGGTAAGCAAAACGGAAACCACTAGAAGAAATCATAACCATAGAAATGCAACCCAAAAATCAAGTCTACTAATATGTGCCAAGATCTAGTTTCACAAGTGTGTGGGCAACTAGCAGAATATACAAAAGATGACTATCCTACTGTCTGAAATAAAATAGATAGACATAAACAAAAGAGAAACTCTGGCATGCTGCTGAACGGCTCGAAAGGGGGCAGCTCACCGTGAAGTCTCAGTTCAAGCTCAAGTATGAGCACAGGCGGGTAACTAGATGCACCTGCCTCAGATCCTGTACAATTAAGTACAGAAACTGTGTTTTGGGGCTCAATGTTGCTGAAATAGCGTAGTATGAGTACATAAACAATATGTACCCAGTAAGTATCCAGTCTAACCTCGAAGAAGTAGTGATGAGGGGTCGACTTGAAACTTACTAGGGCCAACAATAATATAGTTAAAGTGTTACGCTAAGCATGAATAGCATGAATAATAATGACAGTTTAATAACAGGAAGAGATAAGATATTCTTCATAAGTAACATGTAAATATCAGTCATATCATGTAACAACTTACATTTCAAAGCATTTAAGCAGTATAGATCACGGAGAGTCCCAAATAATTAATATACGCAATTATGCCGAGGTCGTACGGCCCGGTCAAACATAGTATTAAAATGTGCACTACGAGAGGGTTGAACGGCATGAACCATAGATGTATCTATTTACTACCGAGGCGCTCGGCCCGATCCATAATTAATAATTTATTTTTCAAGAAACACAAATTTCTCATTTATAGTCAAGTATTTCATGCAAACCTTCAAGTAAGTGAGTTGAACCTCATACAATTCCATTATAAATTTCTAACATGGTTTAAATGATTATTTTAGCAAGTAAGGGCACAACATTGCAATTATAGCTTGATGCGGATCCTAAGCTACTCGGACAATAGCATACTAGTAGCTACGTGCGGATTATCGTCACCTCGTACGTACGTAGCCCCCACAAATAGGTTCAAACATGTATTTAATTCACCTATGGGGTTAATTTCCTCTTACAAGGTTAGAAAGGAGACTTACCTCGTCTGAAGTCTACTTCCCAATTCAAGAACGCGC